CCACAGATGTCACAGAATCTCACCTGGGTAGATATGGATGAGAGCAGACAAATCCAGTGCATTTTTCCTCTTAGGGACAAAGGACACAACTTGGGTGCCTTCTCCTCTCCCCTTCTCTTCTTGTTACTGCTGTTTGTTTGTCTGTTTTGAAACAGGGTCTCTCTAAGTAGTCTTATCTGTCCTGGAACTTGCTATGTAGACCAGCATGGCCTTGAACTCACAGAGATCCGTCTGTCTCTGCCTCACATCTCTTCCCGTTTTGATCAGGGTCATTCTTGCTCCGTAGCTCTGGAACTCTCTGTATCCATCCCAGCCTTGATTTCACAACAATTCTTTTGTCAGCACCTTCCATGTGTGAGGAGTACAGGTGAGACTCACTGTGTCTGGCCACATCTTCTAACCTTCAAGGGACCACAAAAAAAAAAAAAAATAAGTACACGAAGCCAAAATTTAGAGTTTCCAGTCTTGCCCAACCAACCAAGCCAAGCCAAGGGACTCAGATACTTTCCTTTCCTTTTCAGTTTTCTTTTTGTAAAATACGAACAAATGCCATAAAAATCCTATATGCTGAAGTAGAAGAAAAGTCTACCCCAAATGGTGAACCATGGGACATAGTTAACTGACAATGTAGTAGCAACAGGGCCATGCCATTAGAAATCTTGAGAACAAACAGACCCACTGTTAACCCTTGTGTGGGTCTTTATAAACAATCCCCCTGTGATAGTCACAGACACCTTCTCCTAACGGATATGGTTTTCAGTGTGTTTATTATATACCAAGTGTTACTTCAAAACTTTTCATTTTTAAGATGAGGTTTCACATTCTAGTCCAGGTTGGCCTCAAAATTAAGATGATCTTCTTCCCTCAGTTTCCAAGATCTAAAAGTTTTTACCTGCATAGATAGTTATCAAAGCTCGTGACTATTTTATGAAAATTAGTTTTAAGATAACAACCCAATTCCAGTACTTGGGAGGAAGAGGCAGGCAGAGTTCTATGACTGCAAGGCCAGCCAGGGTCATAGTGAGACTGTGTCTCAAATAAACAAAAACAAAAGCAATAAACAACAAACAAACTAATCAGAAGTTATACCACATGACAGCATAGCCTGGCAGAAAGGAAGAGTATGCTTACCTTCTGGACTGTGTTTTTAACTGTTCCTGCTCATAAAATCATAAAGTAATCTAAAACAATGGTAGTGACATCATTTCAGACTTATAGTTGTGCATGCATATATATATATATATATATATATATATATATATATATATATATATATATATGTGTGTGTGTGTGTGTGTGTGTGTGTGTGTGTGTGTGTCATGTGGCATGACTGCTGCCCGACACATTTGCTTACCTTCCTCCCTCCAAATAAGCATATCCATGATATTTCCTTTCTCATGTAGACATAGTGATGGTCTTCCTCACACCTGTATAGATCTCTTCTCCACAAACAAGGGGTTCTTCTTCTGTAATCACAGCACGATGAATGACGCCATGAAATTATCATGGGCAAAATGCTCACAACTAACTCACAGACTTTGCTCAGATTTCCTCAACTGTGTCATCAGACAAGCATAGGGAAAGCATTGCACTCAGTTGTCAGGTCCTGAAAGTAATGCCTGACCTGGAGCAGCTTGTCTGCCTTCATGAGTTCTTGTTAACATTATTATTATTATTTTATTATTATTATTCAGTTCAAAGCTCCAACAGGTCAATTATTCTGTTGCATGTTTTTCAGTTTGAGGTTGGTTTTCAGTTTAGGTTCTTATTGAAGTTGAGGTTTGCATTCTTGGGAGGGGGAACAGGGGAGCAGGAACAGAACAGAAGTCTCAGTGTCTCCTTTCAGTACAAGGTGTCAGGAAAAATAAAGCATGTTCTGTCCCCAGTAATGCTGTTCCTGACCCCTCAGGTAAGCTGCTGTCTGTAAAGTCCAGTCTATTTTCTCCTCATTTAAAAATGTATTATTACTGTTATTATACTATTGTTATTGCACATTATGTGTGTTTTCGTTGATGTCAGAGGATAGCTTGTGGAGATTGTTTCTCCTTTTCTACCATGGTTGGCCTGGGCACTGAATCCAGGCTGTCTTTACCTGCTAAGCAATCTTTTCTATTACTAAGTTAAAAAAATGTTCTGAGATATTTTCTTTAAAGTTTTAAATTATTTATTTATTTAAAAATTTTTTATGTGTGTTTCTTTGCTAGCATGTTTGTGTGTGCATCATAGTATTTTGGATGCCCAAGTAGAACAGCTCTCCTGGAACTGGAGTTACAGATGGTTGTGAGCCACTGAGTGGGTGCTAGGAACAAAACCCAGGTCCTTTGTAAGAGCAACAAGTGCCCTTACCTGCTGACCCAGCTCTCCAGCTTCTGGTTTGTTCATTTGTATCATAAACGCCTGGTTCTGTGACATTCTGTCTGTTTACAGTGTTTTATAACCATTCATTCACATTGTTCTGTAAGAGTCCCCATCTGCCAATCATAGAGACTTTTCCAAGTTCACTTTCTTTAATGTTCCCAAGAAACTGGCCAAAGTCTTCTTCCCTGCAGCTTCCCTGTAACTGATTCAGGTCCTGGGACTGGAGACTGAATCCAGAGCCTCATATATATCAGACAAGCATTCTACCACTGAGCTCCATCCCTAGGTACAGCTGGTTCTTTTTGTGGCTCCTAGAAATCCCAAAAGGGTTCATTTCCCTGATTGATACAAAGATGCAATGAAGGTCAGCATTATGAACTCCTTCTTACTCCTCTGTCTTCTCTGTTCCAAACTGTGTGTGCTTGGCTCCTCTAAGGACAGAACCTGTCCATAGTAGACACGGCAGAAAAATAAGGTGCCTTAAACTACGGAGCCATATTTGGATAATATTTTGTTTACACCTCAAACTCTCTTCTTTCTACAATATCTATGCTAGGAGTCTTTTCTTTAGACATGTGAACTTCACTGGAAACAAGCCCCTGGAAGCTGCAATTTCATTTTTTCTCCATGTGATTATACTTCATAAAAATGGAATCTTAGGATATTTGTCTTTTTTGGGTGACAATTTTGCTTCTTATAGTGTATTCTTCCAGTTCCATCTGTAAAATTGTCACTGGCAAATGTGTATTGTCCACCTCAATATTATTTTATTTACATGGATATTTTGCTTACATGCAGGCTTGTGCACCATATGTATGCTGTGACCTTGAAAGCCAGAGGAAGGCAACAGATCCTCTGGGACTGCAGTTACAGCTGACTGTGAGCTGCCATATGGGTGCTGGGAACCAAACCCACATCCTCTCACCCTCTGTAAGTGCCAGTACACTTAACTGCCAAGTCCCCTTCCTAGCCCCAAAACAAAACATGTCTTTTTTTTTTTTTTTGGTACAGTACTCATGCTGTACCTATGCTGACTTTAAAGTCTTAGACTTCCAATTTACTCTTAAGTTCTGGGATTACAGGTGTTTATCATCATGCCTAACCAATAAAATGATTAACGAATCTGCAGATGTTAGTAGGATATTATCTGATTAGCATGTGTTAGAATTTCCCTCTTTCCTCTAGGGGAAAAAAAAAAAAGAGGAAATGTCAAACCTCATAATCTGGAGGAGAAAAGACCAAATTCACTATTGTTCAATTAAAGCAATGTATTTGGAGGTATACCTAGAGTGGCCAGCTGGACCCTAAGTCGGGATTTGAGAGAGCAGCCCCTTGAGGTCCTTTTTATAGGAAAGATGAAGTGTACACAGGGACGAGAGACTCGGCTGTTATACATTGTTAGAAAGAGACAACGAGAGGGAAGGACAAGGGAAAGGATGTGAGTATTATGGTTGCAAGGTTAGTGTAGAGGTTGAAAACATGTTTTGCAGCTTACCTAAAAAAACAGGAATTTAGCTGGGCGGTGGTGGCGCACGCCTTTAATCCCAGCACTTGGGAGGCAGAGGCAGGTGGATTTCTGAGTTCGAGAGTTTGAGGCTAGCCTGGTCTACAGGGTGAGTTCCAGGACAGCCAGGGCTACACAGAGAAACCCTGTCTCAAAAAACCAACCCCCCCACAAAAAAAAAAAACCCAGGAACTTATTCTTAATTACAAATAAAAATCCTAACTTGCAAGGATTTTTATGAGGAAATAGAACTTATTCTTTAATTATATACAGAAACCTTCGCCTGCACAGGACAAACAGGAGCTTAGTCTTAACTGTCTTAACTATGAACACATCCCCTAACCTCCAGCTCTATTTTTCGTCTTTTGATCTCCCATTAACTTGAAAGGTATATTGTCCATTTTGATCTACAGTATATATCAATTTGTATCATATATAACCACATTTTGCTTACTTGCTTATATGTTGGTGGATTCCTGGTTCCTTCCACACATGACTATTGTGAATGAGGTTGCTATGAATATGGAAGCTCAAACATCTCATTTAGACACTGCTTTCAGTTCTTTTGGACATATACCATTATTTCTATTATTATTATTACTATTAATTTACTTTTTGGACACAGGGCCTCATGTAGCCCAACTGTTTTCTCCTTCCTATTAAGTTTCATAAAGAAAAACGCTTTGAGACTATATAGAATACCTGACTTTTTTTTTAAACATCAGTTGATTCATACCTTAATTATTTTGTCTGCCAAGTGGAAGTTTTCTAGTATCACTCCGTCTTCATTTATGCGTTGGCATTTTACTATAGGTAAGAGAGTTCTTCCCGTTTATTTATGAATGTCGACTCATTTTATTCATGTACTCGGGGGACATTCTATTGTTCTGAGAAATTCCTATGTGACTGTTCAAATTTTGGGAATACGCGGTGAGCTTCTGTATTTCACTATCAAGCAAAAGGAGAGGGCGACCTGACTTCCATACATAGAGATCACACCTCGTGGTCAACCCTCTCATTTAGTCAGATTGGCGCTGTTTTTCTAAGAGCTTCCTGGATAGGAGCCACGTCGCAAACTACACATCCCAATAGTCTCCCAGGACGACGTCATCAGGAAGCGCCGCTCGCCGCTCAGTCTGCGGGCTCTGAAAAGCCGGCTGTGACGGCTGCAACATGGCGGACATGTTGAGCGTTGGGGTGAACCTGGAGGCCTTTTCGCAGGCTATTAGTGCCATCCAGGCACTGCGCTCTAGCGTGAGTAGGGTGTTCGACTGCCTTAAGGATGGCATGCGCAACAAAGAGACGCTGGAGGGCCGCGAGAAGGCCTTCATCGCGCACTTCCAGGACAACTTGCATTCCGTCAACCGGGACCTCAAGTAGGTACTGGCTGAAGGGGTCGGGATCGAGGACCCTCCTAGGACCTGTCCCGCCTGGATCCCGCGCCAGTCTTTCCAGTCACGGACCTCTCTCCTTTTTCCGCAGTCCGCTGTCACTTTTGCTCATCCCCGGGTCCCTGTCAGCCTCTCAGGAACTCCTCGTCTCTCGTCCCGTTACCTAGTATTCGTCCTGTTGGTCATTTCGTCTTGGTTGTCATCTGTAGTCCTCGGTTCCCGCTATAGCGGTCGTATTATGATGAAGAAACTAGCTCTTCTCAGGAACTTCCACCTCCTTGATCTTACCAAGTCTCTTCCATGGGCTCCATCACATCGGGCCAGCCTCCCCCTTAACACTTCCAGGCCCCATTACGTACCTCTGGATCCGATGAGCTCCAGTTCCCATCCTGAGAGCCTGGGATTCATCAGTTCCACCTCACTTCACTCTCAGACACTAGCTCTGTTACCTTTTGCCTCTTTCCATTTCCCCTCCGAAGCCACCTGCTCAGCACTGGTTGTCACCATCATTCCTTTTGTTCAGCTCTTTTCTCAGAGAGACACAGTCTCACATCTGTTAGGATGTTTAGGAGGAAGGATTTATTTAGGTTCAGTTTCAGAGGACCCAATCCACTACAACGGGAAAGGTATGTTTGAGCAGCTTTGCCCCTAATACTTGGGGATTATGTGTTTTTACTTTTACTTCATTAGTGTATTAAGAATTAGCTGAGAGGACATTTGCCAGATGCTATATATAGGAGGCACCTGGTTTTTGTTTTTGTTTTTTTTTTTGAGTCAGGGTTTTTCTGGGTAACAGAGTCGGTTGTCCTGGAACTCAATTTGTAGACCAGGCTGGCCTGGAACTCAGAAATCCGCCTGCCTCTGCCTCCCAAGTGCTGGGATTAAAGGCGTGCGCCACCACCGCCCGGCCATTAGTAGGCACTTCTTATTTGCCTGAACTTGTATTCTCTTCCTGTCTTAGAAGTTAAGAGTGTAAGGATTTAGGCTTTTTACTTCTGAAATTGAGTATTTGGTCATCTAGTCACTTAGGATTTCTGGACAGGTTGGCTTCTCTCTCTTCCATCTCATGTTCCTCCATGATGCCTGGTTCCAACTCAGGGCCTTCCATGTGTCAGTTAGGTTCTTCACTACTGGGCTAACCCCCCAGGACTCCCTCCACCTCTCAGTTGGTCAAGCAGGATGGAGGAGGAGGTAGTGAAGTAATGTGTGCCTTTCCTCCCCCATATTCCACTCCCCTCCTTAAATTACACATGTACATGTTTTTTTGGTACAGTGTCAGCTTGAGGATAACATGCATCTCCCCCCTCCATTGAGCCCCCCGGAGCTTTTTTTTTTTTTTTTTTCCCAAGATAGAGTTTCTCTATGTAGTGCTGGCTGTCTTTGTAGATGAGGCTACTGACCTCAAACTCACAGATATACCCCTGCCTCTGCTTTCCGAATGCTGGGATTAAATAAGTGTGCCACCTCCGCCCTGCTTTCTAATGGGATGTCACAGCCCTTCGTCACTTTAGAAACTTTAGCAATGTTGATATTTCTTTGACTTATTAAATGTACAGTAGTGCCAAGACGGTGGCTGAGGATTTGAGATTGAATGCTGCATGGGAGTGGGTCCCAGCCTCCTATTGGCTGCTGAGAACTGACTCCTCAGAGTGCCTGTTTCCTTGTTCTCTCACTTCCAAGCGTCTCCCTGGCTTTCTTGCTAGACTGAAGGGCACTTATTTGACACAGCCCTCTTGATGGTGTCTTCCCATTTTATTTGTTTATTTTATCTCTTCTTTGTTTTGCTGTGCTTTGCCGTCTGTGAAACACTGTGCCATATCTATCTCAATGTGAAATGATACTAATCATGATTTATTCAGGTACTTGCTGCTCTGCCAGATGGAGTGATCTGCACGTGCGTCCGGAAATTCCTGACCGAGAGGCTGTGCTAGACTAGACTGCAGGATCCTAAACAGCTCAGCTGCGAACGAGTCTGAGTTGTTACATCCCAATTTTTAGGAAACTTAGAGCTTCTTTGTGCCCTTAGATTTGTTTTCCCTCTGGAATGGCATGAGAAGGCTAACCAGAGCTGCACAGTGAGACAAAACGAAACAAAATATCGCTGTCTCATGGGATGTAACAACTCAGATTCATCCACAGCCGAGATGTTTATTTTGTCTCACTGGTTGACTCATTTTATCCCTGGTTGCCCCGGACCTCCCTATGTAGACCAGGCTGACCTCAAATTCACATTGCTATACCACACCTGCCTTCCCAGTGTTGGGATTAAAAGTGTGGGCTACCATGCCTGGTTTTGACAGACATGTTTAAGATTAGAACTCCCCAGTTAGGCGCTCTCTTGTTTGTCCCTAGTTTTTTGTTTTTATTTTTGCCTTTGCAAAACTCTTCTTGAGAGATGATGGTTTCAGAAGCAGCAGTGTGCTTGGCCTTGAGGGCGTAAAGTGGATTCAGATTTATGTAGCTTCTCTATTTACTTTTAGCGAACTGGAACGTTTGAGCAACCTGGTAGGCAAGCCGTCTGAGAACCACCCTCTTCATAACAGTGGGCTGCTAAGCCTGGATCCTGTGCAGGACAAAACCCCACTCTACAGCCAGCTTCTGCAAGCATACAAATGGTCCAACAAGGTAAGAGCTACTGCAGGTGGAGCTAACAGAGCAAAACCCAGTGTTTCTCCTAGAACTGCAGAGAGAACATGAGAGGAAGTTTTCTTTTGCACCTGTATGGGTGTAGAGTTGGAATTCTAGGGTTTCCTATAAGCGATAGGGAATCCTAGATCAGGTATACTTAGCCTGGGATTGGGTATGGAGAGCTGCTTATAGAACTCTGGATGGTCCATACAATGTGCTGTGGTATGTTACATGCAGTGTGCTGTGGTGTGTGCAGTTTTGCCTGAGGAAGGTGCATCTGTTCTAGCTTCTCTTAGCTTACCAGGAGGTCCTGACTCCTACAGTTTAAAGCCTGGTGACAGGAAGGTTTAGCGCTCACATTGTTTATTTGTTGTGTTGTATTTTCTTTGTCATACTGGGAGAGTCTCTGCAGAGTGTTATGGGTTAGATTATGCTCCACTTTCTCCTGAACCCATATGCTACAGAGTGTAGTTTTTGTGGTGGTGTTGAGTGGGTAGGTCCATGGTGTAGCCCTCAGGAAAGTTGGAAAAGGAGAGCTGAACAGTAGTGTGACTCACAGGAACCACTGCGCTTACAAACCTGGAAGTAGTTTGTTTACCTGAGTCCCTTTTGTTGTCTGCTGTGTGTTGTGTGTTTTCCTGCTGACAGGAAGTGACACGTTTTAGGAACAGGTTTATATACAGGTCTTTCTTAGTAGCTCCTGAGACCTGCTCTTTTATTTTATTTTATTTTTTTGGTTTTTCGAGACAGGGTTTCTCTGTGTAGCCCTGGCTGTCCTGGAACTCACTCTGTAGACCAGGCTGGCCTCGAACTCAGAAATCTGCCTGCCTCTGCCTCTCAAGTGCTGAGATTAAAGGTGTGAGCCATCGCTGCCCAGCGAGACCTGCTTTTGTTTGTGAACTGCCATGCTCCTCCAGATCCACTCTCTCTGCCTTCTTCCCTGGTTCTCTCCCTCTCATCTGTCTTGGTGACAGATGAGCCTTGATAGTTTTTATGTTTTTTTTTCTTTGAATTTTTTCTTCTTTTTTTAAATTTTAAATAATTTGTTTATTTTTTCTCAAATTGTAATTCATTCACACAGGGGTTATAAACACAGAAAGGCAGGATGTGGGGAAGGGGATGACACTGGAGTATGGGTGTTCAGGGGGAATACAGATATCTTTCAGAACCGGGTGTCGGCTGGGTGAAGGTTCAGGGGACAGGTCACTATGACTCTGCCTATGACTCACTTGTCCTTATCTAAGTTGGCATTGTCTGCCAAGGCTACCTATTTACAAGGTCTATGACTACTCAAGCTTGTAAATTTCTCCAAAAGCTGCCTGTTTACAATAACTTATAGCCATCTGTTTCAATGTTTTTTCACTGAGACCCAAGACTTGGTGTTAGTATACATGTATGACAGGCCTATTGCTGATTTTAGGCGTATGACTGATTTTAGGCCTTCAGTGTGTAAGCAGAGCTGCCCTTGACATCTCCTCCCTTCTCTAAGTATAGAAGAGCTGTGGCAATTCTAATCTTGCGAAGGTGGGGATAGAGGCCTGACCTCTAGTACTTGAAGGGGACCTTGTGATGGCTCTGGTCCCCCTGTCATTGTCCAGTGAGGCATGAGGGCCATACCCATCCCGATGTCTTTTTCCTGGAGAGGGGATACTTTTGACATCAACCCCTATGCAGTCAGGCTTGTCCCTCAGGGAACCCAGAGAGAGATTTTTATCTTTTATTTATATTCCCTTACAGTGCTTAGCCTCGAAGCCTAAGCAAGGATTCAGATCGCCTGTCAGAGGGGGTTCTGGGTGGCCCCTCTCTGCTTGGTCTAGGGATGGAAGTCCCCTCTTTTAGGTTGGGTGGAGATGGGTTTTGGGAACACCCTGTATAAAGTAACAACCTCATCTTGAGTCTCTTTCTTTGAATTTCTGTGGTAGGCTTATTTTAGTATTCTTTGGTTTGAAGTGAGTTGGAGATTCTGAAAGATGATTGTCACTGGGGGACTAAAAGAACTTGAACTCTGAATATGTTGATTTGTCCTTTAAGACCTTTCCCTCTGACTCTGTGGTGCCCTGTATAGAAACCTGCCCTGGAGTTGGAGTTGGTTAATACAGTGGTCAGGGAGCTCCCTGGTTTGAACCTGAGCTCATATGAGGGTCAGCTCATGTGTGCTTGCTGTGTCTGTCACTCGGGTGCGTCTCAGGGCTTGCTTGCTTTGGTTGCTCTGAGAGTCTCCTGGTGGGAAAAAGCATAGCCTGTCAGCTGCAGGTTTGTGTATCCTGATGCCTGTAACAGTCCCAGTGACTGTCAGGCCCTGTGTGATAGGTGTCCTTGGGAAAGATTAATAGGACCCATGGGTGGGAGTCTCAGCTTGGCTCACTGGAATGATTCTCCTTGGCGTTGGAGAGGGCCATTTCCCCAAAAGAAGAGTGTATTACTCTGTTTTGTTACTGTAATGAAGTACCTCAGTTAGACTAACTTTATAAAGAAGAGAGGTTTATTCAGGACTTGGTGTTGGAAATACCAGGGCAAGGTGCTGCATTGACTTGATACTGTTGAGGACTTTATGGCAGATAGTATCATAGCAGTGGGTGAGCATGTAGGAGGAACAGATCTCATTGTCAGACAGGAATCAGAGAGGCTGGTGTCCTCCAGTCACTTGTGAGGATATGTCCCAATTGACCTCAGGACCTCTTATTAGGTTCTTCCTCTTAACAGATCATTACCATGTTGGGGACAAAACTGCTAATCAGTGAAGCTTGGAGGGAGGCGACAGCCGTACCCAACAAGAGCAGAAGGCACCAGGCAGAGACAGTGGAGGGTGTTGGCTGCAGGTGCTGAGGCCACACCCCCAGCCTTCTAGGCTGCCCTGTGGAAGCTGGTATTCCTGGGTGTGTGCCTGGGATCTGAGCATGAGTTTGCCTGTTGAGTGGGTGGAGACTAGCTGGCCAGCAGATGCATAGCTGGACTCTAACTGTTCCCACTTGACTCCCAGAAAATCCTATGTTTGGTTAAGGAGGTCTCTTGCTGTTTCACACGGGTAAAAAGCCTGAGTGGTGAGACAGGCAGAAGAAGTGACTTACATTGGAGTGATGGCAATTTACGCTGGAACAAAGCTGCTGTCATAAGTTAATGAAATTGGATCGTTTGACTATGGAAACAGGAGTCCCTGGCTCTTGCTTTTGTCCCAAGGAGAGAAAGTGTATTAAGTAAAGTAAATACGTGTATGGACCTCTCGCCTCAGAGGTGCTACAGGTTAAAACATTCACGGAAGGTTGTCATGGAAAAAACTATATGTCTGTGTCTCCTGTAGCCAGTGTCAGGAGCTTTGGAGGATGCCCCTGACATGTGGTGATTGCTTATAGAGCCGCAGCATCACTAGTCCCCTGGGTCACCAGCAGAAGAATTCAGCCTCTTGTGTTAGAACCAAGCAAATTGAAGCCCAGTAAACTGACTTCGTCATGGCTCCTAGCTGGCCTATGGTTTGAGGTGGTTTTTTTTGTTTTGTTTTTGTTTTTTTCTGAAACTTGATGGTCCAGTTTTGCTTAAATATTCAACTTTAGAAAACATCTCTCCCCTTTGGCCATACCTTAGAAATTCTCATGTCATTTTGTTCATACTTTTTTTTTTTAAGAATCCATTCAGTCTTCATGCATTTCCATGGCTTATGAAAAGGTAGGGAAGACAAATACATGGTATGTGGGTCTTCAAACGTTTGCTCTTCCCTGGGTAGACATTACTAATCAACTGATGCATTCTTTCCTGCTAAGGCTCTTTTTGGATTGGTTCTGAATTGTACAAATGTTCTACGGCTGGGCAGCTACTGCCTTGTACTTCACAGGAGGGCTACAGAGGACCTTACCTCTGTAGCAGGACTTGATGTCTAGCATGGTTGTTACTCATTTCTTCTGCACCTCACTAAGGGAAAGACTTAGGATTATGAGATCCATAAAACCAGAAAGAGAAGAAGATAGCCAGCATGAGGCTCCCTTATGTCCATTTCTTCAGTAAGCCTAAGAAGTAGCCTTAAGGAGGAAGCCAGTGTTCTCATTTCCAGCTGTTGATACGCATGAGGCCAAGCATTAATTATGTGTTTTTCTTGCTTCTGTAAATGAAGAGAGATTTTAATTGCGAAAACAGTCACCATTTATTATTTTATCCAAGGAATTTAAAGAGTATGCGCAGTGACGTGTGAAGGGAGTCGGGTATCTTGCCCATGTCAGCTTTCTGCACTGTTGCTGAGAACGGAAGGACACAGGAAAAGGCTTTGACACCGCCCATTATGTAGGAACTTTATGTGCAGTTGGCCATAGAAAGGTCTCGTGCATGTCCAATAACTGCTTATTTTCTTTGGGGGAGTTTTCTTAAATTTTGTAAAGTCAGTTGGAGTCTTAATTACATGGTAGTTGGCATAATTGTTAGAATAACACATTCAAAGATTAATGTAATGAAATGGTGTCAAATCGCTGTGAGCAGCACTTTCCCCATGCTGATTCGGGGAAAGAGCTGAGCTTTTTACTTGGATGCACCTATAGATAATTGTTCTGCAGACTGGTGACAAGCTCTCTCTATTTGGGCAGGAAATAATTGGCATCACCGCTGTCCCTGCTGTAAAGTAGTCAGTGTGGACTTTATGTCACTTGATATGCTTAGTCGTAAGGAAGACGTAAGCTCATCCTGAAAGTCCCTTTCTGAAGATTCCAACTTCCTGTCTCCAGGCTTTAAATTTCCGGCATTGATGCTTTCCACTCTTTTGGGGCAGAAGGCTGGTGTGTGTAACGCATGGTCCCAGTGGGGGTTCGATTCCAGGAACTCATGTACCTGAAGTTAGGAGGTCCACAGACGCTGAAGTCCTTCATGTAAAACAATGCTGTATTTGCATATAACTAAATATATTGCCTTCTCCTTTCTGTGCATTTGTAGATGGTTCTTGCTGTGCTGTCCAGGCTTCCCCCAAGTGATCCTTCTCCCTCTGCTTCCTGAGAGGCTGGAGTGTAAGCATATGCCACCAT